ACCCCCCCCCCCCCGTACATTAGAATGTGTCCTGTTTTATTTTTTTTCTGCGCAAAAAACCTTGATTTTCAGAAGGCACCCACTAAAATGCCATTCAGTGCAACAGTAGTTCATATACCAAAACAAAACAAAAAAACCCATCCAGGCATATTTTGAACAAGAATCATTGCATGACATTAAAAGACAAAAAACTAATCGATTGTCATTTTAAATCTTTACCAATCTTTGCCACTATCTTTCAAACCACTAGGTTTTACCCATTTGTCAGAAAGATGTTTTAATAATTTAATATCTAATAACATTTTGTATAATCACTTATTATTTAATTAGTACAGGTCTGAATAGCAAAAAGGGACGCCTCGTCTTTGACCCAAATACATCTGAAAATTGTATTTATTTATTTATTTATTTGTTTTTGGAAACAAACAATACAAGCAAACATTTGCTTACAGCAATTAACTAATAGGCAATGACACATTTTTGGAAACCAAAACCCAAAGATGAGCATTTTAGTACACCTGGTTGGTTCCATCATCCTGAAGTGAATAGGTTTTTGGTTAGATGCCTGAAATAAGGTCTGTGGTTTAACACAAGCTCAGTATATTTTCACGTTTTATTCTATAACATAAAATACACCAGTAAAACCCTCTTGCTGCTTTTTTAAAAGTTTCATTCGTCTCGAAGGCTTTCAAATTTATGAATGTTGTTAAGATTATCATGATGAACAAAATGTGTAAGAATCATAAACTTCTGTCTGTTTTCTGCAATAATCCAAAATCCAATGGAAAAATCCTATGGCTGACTCTAAACTTCCAGGTCGGCCTACAAAAACACGTCCTCCATGCAGCACTATATAATTGGCTGATAATATGTTTCCTGTTGCTAACGTCATTTTGGTCAAAAACAGCTAAAACAACTAGGTTAAACATGCATGCTTTATGTTTACATCCACAAAATGCCAAAAAGTTGTGGCCGCTGTATTCCATAAACACACAGAATGATAATTTTCTCACTCACACATTTAAATGCAGTTGTCGCTCCCAAAATGTTCCAGTGTGTACACTGATTCAGTACACAACCGTCACAAATAAATGACAGTTATGACACCTAAATACACCGGCAATATCTAGTATTCTGTAAATCACAGACATCAACACGCTGGCATTTCCAGTTAAAGGTGAGGCGTGTTATTTCTGCAACAATGGAGACACTGAAACGATTACTAGACTAAAGCCTATTTTGAAAGATAAGATAATGCTGAGTCAAATTCACAGCTCAGGTGAATCACTCTACAAATGATTCATGGTTTTCTCTGCATGTTGCACTTGGAAAGAAGAAAATATTCTAACATCAAACAAGTTAAATAAACTATCATTCCATCCTCTTAAATCTCTCAGCAAAGACATGCTTCACCGTTTAGCACTCTGTCCTTTCTCCGAGACACACAGGTGCTGAATCACGCAGTGGGAATGTTACGAGAGTCAGATAACTCGAGTCTTTGGACAGGTTGCAGAGTGAATGTGTGCCATGCTGCCATACGGCCAGACATTTATTTTAGTGAAGGTCTTCCATCTGCTTTGCATTAGCTGACTCCAACACTCTCCGAGCTCCGAGCCGATGTGTTTCAGTGAGTCACTAACGGATCACTGCAGAGACTCACGTTCACCCTTCCTTGCAGACTGCGTCGTTGGTGAACGGCCATAAGTTTCAAGGTATTTCGCTTTGGAAGGACTTGATGTTGTTTTAAATGTGATGGCACACATTTCTCCAAAGCAAGTCCAAGGAGAACATGGAAAACATGCTGCTTTTCACAACTGCAAAACAAGTCACTTGAAAACATCTCAGATCTCAGTTCAGTTTATTTTCTAGAGCATGAACCACAATACATTTCAATGCAGCTTTATAGAAATACGAAATATGAAGGAAAAGCCTGAATACTCCCACAGTTATCAAGTAAAAGGTGATGGGCGAGAAAAACTCAAGGTATGCATACCTGCATTAACACGCAGAAAGGCAACCGATGGCGCACAAGCAAAAATAGCAAGAGAGATTACATGCAGGCCTATTGATTTTATTTAGTTGTTTATTTTAGATATAAAGTCATTTGCAAACGCATGCCAAACTACATACCGCGGTAATCCTTTAGCGTCGTGCAGCATGTTTAATTCAGTTATAAGCTGAAGGGGAAGCTAAACACTCAAAACGACAAGATTTGCGCGTCCACTGACCTGGAAAGTGCAGTTCGGTCTCCATTTCTTGAGGCACTGAATATAAGAAATTTAGTCACAAGATGATATAACATGCATGTAGACTCGCATCTGAATGTGCATGTCTGCATCAGTTACATGAAATATGCAAATAATAAATATCAGTAATGGATGATATATCACATTTTCATTGGTCTCTTCAGTGGAAAATAATCATACTGAGTTTAATTATTACTTTATAATATGTGACCATGGACCACAAAACCAGTCTTAAGTGTCAATTTTTCAAAATTGAGATTTATACATCATCCGAATAAATAAGATTTCCACTGATGTATGGTTTGTTAGGATAGGACAATATTTGGCTGAGATACAACTATTTGAAAATCTGGAATCTGAGGGTGCAAAATATTGAGAAAATTGCCTTTAAAGTTGTCCAAATACAGTCCTTTGCAATGCATATTACTAATCAAAACTGAAGTTTTGATATATTTACGGTAAGAAATTTACAAAATATCTTCATGGAACATGATCTTTACTTAATATCCTAATGATTTTTGGGATAAAAGAAAAATCGATCATTTTGACCCATACAATGTTTTTTTTTTTGGCTATTGCTACTAATATAAATATACCCAGCGACTTAAGACTGGTTTTGTGGTCCAGGGTCACATATAATAATAGAATCTACAAACTCTGCTGATTCAACAACCAGTTGGTCTGGGGTTTGCTTGCATGCTTTGCTAAAGCAATCTATCTTAACTAACAGAAATAAACTGCTATGATGACAAAATTTAGACCTCAGCTATTTACAGTGAGCATTTAAAAAGGTAGATTCTATTTAGATTCCATTTGCACCAAGTACGAATAGCCTTTTGTGACTAAGTGCCAAACAGTGATAGATGCAACTGAGCGTCAACAGAAGTAATATTCTATTTGCACTAATGGTAAAATATCTGGGCCCCTATTCACAAAACATCTTAAGGCTAAAAGTAGCTCATAACTCGCCGATTTAGGAGAAAATCTTAAAAAAGAATGGGCGTGTCAGTCCTAAATTTAGGACTCCTAAATTTTTGTTCTAAGAGTATTTCACAAAGCGTTTAACGCTAAAATTAGCTCCTAAATCTGTGAAACGTTAGGAGTAGTGAAGAGGACTCCTAAGTCACTAAGACCAAATCTGAACTATCCTAAAATGGCTGTTGCCAGCAATCTACCTCGGAATATAAACATTTTAGAAACATTTGACCATAATGAGCTTTTAAAAAGGTCTCGGCTTTGGTCTGGAGGTTATCCCAACTCCAAATTTTTTATTATATCCTTAATATATAGCTGTTCTTGCATCCAGTTTGGTTTTCTTTTATGTTTGCATGTCTTGCTATCATTTTACAAAATTGTATGAGTCGCAGAAAAAAAAATTCCTCATGAAGTGGCGAAATCACGCAGTCCGTGACGGACAAATCGTTAACGGCTGGACTTTGTGGTAATACAGTACATCGGGCAGGACATCCATATGCTCACCTAATATTCATCGACCTCAAATATGTCTTATCATCTGAAATATGTATGTAGTGGCAACTTTACATGGCAGCTCAATCTAATGTTAGCCTAGAAAAAAGTGCGCAGTTCACATGTTTGTGCAGAGTGTGGAAGCTGAACAGCAGCGCGCTTGGGCTACAGATGGAGGCGCCGGTGCGATCATTGGCTCTTAAAATACTCCATTTTTGGTCATACAGATAAGAGTAATTCATCTTTTGTATAAATTGCCGAATAAATTGCCTTTAGAGAGCAGCTTGCATTTTTGCATCTCTTGAAATGCATCCGCATAAGACAAAAGTGTCTGTATGTAAAAAGTGAATAATTGAATAATTAAATAATTGTACAAATATTATTAATAAAATATATTAAAGTATCTTAAATAAAAAAATGAAATATTGTGCATAATTAAAAATAAATACAATTAAATTAATTAAAAGCCAGAGATAGACCGAGTGACAGAGTTAAGTGATTCTCGCTGAAGCTTGTCTGGCAGGATAACTATGAATTATATGGATCGTCCCACATTAAAGGTGTCGAGCATGTGGTGTGCAGTAGGTGTTTAAAGCCCTTGTTCATTGTGCCCTGGTTTTGAGCATCCTCAGGCCCCGTCCAGTGAGAAAGGGGGAGATCCAAGACTGTGTGAGCGATTAGAGGCTACGGTAATCCGACCCATCCAGTGATCAGCGAGTTGGTAGAGGAGGAGTCTCACACACAGGGAGGAGAAAGACTGACAGGGACCAAGGGGAGTTCTCCATGCGCACACCCCTACAAACATACAAACGCAAACTCCTGCTCTCACACATCGCTTTACACACAGGCAGGGATCTTACGCACGAAAGACTTCGCATGAGAAGACAACAAAACCAGGATCTGGACACCCTGTAAGCTTCACATGGCACATGGTAAGTCTGGAAGCGCTGAAGGAATAAGCTTAGTCGGTTTTAAGTACCTTACAATTTTGAGACAAACCTAACTGTATATTTAATTTGGATTGACAGTAAGACAGTATAGAGTTACGGCTTAAATGAGAATGTGGAAACAATCTGAAAATGAATTTTAGACTAAAACGCCAAGACACATTTAGTCTTAAATTTGGTTATGCTCTACACTGGTCTAAACTCTACATGACGGTGAAGATCTGGAACAAATTAAGAGCCTTAAAGGTTTACTAAAATTTGCTGGCTTCACTAAACAGCTCTGTTGCAAAACCTTAGTGAGTTGCTGCACTGTCTACATATGCATCTTAACCGAGAGGAACCTTATAAGTGATTGATTTTAAACACTCTGCATTGGAACTAACTCTAGAAATAGCTCTCTGCATAGAAGACCTGAATCGCAGCTGATTTTGTTAGAGTTTGCATGTTACCAAGCCAACAATATACCAAACATTAATGGGAATTGGGTCAAATTGTTCATTTCAATTGGATTCAATACCCATTAATGTTATGGGTATTGTATCCCATATTGTATGTAATACTTTATGAAAATAGGAGATGCCTAAAAATGCTAGTTTTTGCACATCCACCTGCTTCCCCATTAAGAATCAAATAATGCTAATTTATGCTGCTGTCTTTGTCGTACCAAGTTCCTTCTGCCAATTTGGATTGTGTGTTTCAGATCTGGAATCCTAAAAACGGACAGGAATCACCTGAACCCAGACTGCAGGCTCATTTCCAAACTGATTTCCATTGGAAAGCCACAATCTACTAGTCTTGGACTCACGTAACCAGCTATGTCAAAGGATGAGGAAATTCCAAGCCCACCTCCAGAGTGGCCGGAAGAAATTTTAATGTAAACATATATCGGAAAAGCCTGGAGGAGAAGTCATCATGAGAAGGAACATCTAGGACACTGGTAGAGTACTTAATATTCTGACAAACCAACCCACAGAAGGCCCTCTTGTTGACTGATTACATGGATATACGGTGTGGATGGACTAGCGCCTGCATGAGGGATTTGCCCTCCCCTCCTGCTGCCTGAGGTCAACCCAACACAACGCCACCTTGATAAGTCTGGCTTAGCTGGCCACTTGGTAAGGACACATCTTCTTTTGTTAGAGTAAGCTGCTACTTACAGCCGGGGTGTTAAACACTGCAGAGCGCCACAGATTCAGGAAGCGTCACTGTGACAGAGCGCATAGATCATGATCCGTAAACAGGTTGCTACATTAACTGAACCAAGAAGCTGAAGTTTTCCTCACTTGGGGAGGTTGTATCATCTCAAAGATTACTAAGACGTCTGTATTTGTCTCTTGATCGGAAATCTTGATCTTGTATTGTTTTATCAGATGCATTACATAGGAAAAGGAAATCTGTTTGGTGTTTTTTACATTAGACCACAACAAAGTCCCCTAGGAGAACCTTTGATTCCTGTCCTAGACCTTCAGGCCACCATACATCACTTACAGTCCATTTGAGTTCAACAGGCTTGACAAAGTCTTTTTTTAACCTATACCTTTGCAAAGTGGATCTCTGTAGGGCCAGATATAGAGGTTTTTATGGGTAGTTCAATGTAAACCAGGTTAGAGAAGTTTCCAAAGAGAATCTGTTGGTATTCAGGAACTCCCTTTGGGTTAAATCCGCATTTACTCTTGTGACAAAATCTTTTGCATCCCAGTAGCATTGCAAATATTCACTAGGACAGATTCTTATTGAACACTGTGATTGTTACCTCTTGTTTCATACATTTAGAAAGGCTGATGTTTGGCAGCTGACCTGTAGCAATGACCTAATCATACTCGTCAATGGGATCTGGTGCATTTTGGGGTGGCAAAGGCATGGCAGGTTAAGCTTTTATTCACCTGAGCCTTTCAACTCCCATAACCTGGGATTCAATTGGGCTTAGTTTGCAAGCCTGATGAAGGTCTGTGCTGTAAAATCGATGCTTTCGTCCACACTCTTTCCCCTCGACCTCAAAGGGAACTCTCAAAATTGGCTTGCAGGTGCAGCGTTATCCATCCGAAACGCGACCCTGAGCTTTGACATCTCATTTTGATCCCTGCGCATTTTTCCAGACAGAAGTTCTTGGATGGGTGCGTTTGTTTTTTCTGCCTGTCCTGCTCCGACATGCTCAGAGCAGGCTGCATTCAAGTGTGTCAGTCGCTAATCATCAGGACGTTTAAAATGCTATCACGCACAATAGCACCAGGGTTTTATTGGAGTACGGATCTGCTCTTCGGCACGCAGAACTGTCTGGATTGAGATTAACTTCGGCATTGGCTTGCGAAAGCAAACATTCGTGGCATTCAATCCAGACTGTAAAATTCCACGATGCAACTGATTTATGGTTTACAGATTTGACTGTCCATTTGTAATATCTGATAACACAGCTGTTGCCAAACAAAAAACAACAACTCTGGAAGTTCTAAATCATGTATACGTGATTAAAACAATGTTGAATACATTGCGGTTTTGCATGCATTAATCAGGATGGGAGATATAAAGGTCACGTCCTTTTCGGCTATTGATCACTGGAGCAACGCACATGTGCATGTCTCTCCATTGTGCATCTGGGCTTTTATTCCTGTCAGATGTTCAAGTTTTTCCCTACACGGGGTACATTTTTACTACCAACCACAAAAATAACTGGGGTGAAAGATGGCAGGAAATGCACTCACAGCATTCACACAGAGCGGGTGAAATGACCGCTTTAACCTTGGGAAGTTTGGTTATATGATGATATCAAATTCCTGCCGGAGTAAATCCTCTGTGGAACCACAAATCAAACCTCAGAACTAAACTGTTGAATTCACGGCTGGGCCCACACGGATTCTCCAGAGGACTGAATGCCTGTCATTCACAGTCTACTACATATCCCCTGTCCTCTGTGTGTTTGTTTAGTGAGTACAATGGGAAAACTGGTTATACTATATATAGCTACCCATACCAACGGTCTTCACCAAAAAAAAATAAAAATCATCCACTTGTCATTCCAAAATTGCACGACTTCCTTCTGACTTTTTAAAAAGTATCTTTTGCGTTCATATGAGGGTGAGTTCATGACGATATTTTTAGGTGAATTGTCCCTTTAACACATTTTACATTGTATAAACCCCCTCCATTGAATTCTCCAGACTTTCCTCTCAAAATCAGCACAGAAAATGAAATAAATAAATAAACGGAGTGTAATATTCTCAGCTGTCTTAACATGGATAGTTCACAAAAAAATTAAAATATTCACCCTCCAAAAATGACTTTCTTCTGCTGAACTGAAAAGAAACAACACTGAAAACAACATTGTGAAGTTCCTTGTAAGGACATTTTTTTTTAAATATATTTTGTGTTCATACAGGTTTGGAATGATATGATGGTGAGAAAATTGACATATTTTGGGTGAATTGTTGTATAAATCCATTGCACAAAAATCCATCCATTGTACAAATCCACTTCACTGAACTCTGCTGACATTCCTCTCCAAATGTGCACAGAAAATGCAAAAAAAAAAAGGTCTAAAAGATACAGAAGAGGACAGGGCAGAATTATATAAGACTAGCAAAACTTTGAGGACTTTAAATCTGATTTCAAAGAGATACTTGCACACAGCACCCTTGTGTATCACAGAATATAATTCAATGCTGTCCAAAGAGAGATAAAACTTGAAAGGGAGTTGAAATGCATTTAAATTGCACGGCATATGAATAAAATTGGCAAAAGGTCCAAACCTAAAATAAAATAAGGTAAAATGTTGGACAGAAGAATACAGTAATATTTATCCTTGTGTAGCAGATCCAACTCTGTCCATAAGAGGGTCTAAAAGATACAGAAGAGGACAGGGCAGAATTATATAAGACTAGCAAAACTTTGAGGACTTTGAATCTGATTTCAAAGAGATACTTGCACACAGCACCCTTGTGTATCACAGAATATAATTCAATGCTGTCCAAAGAGAGATAAAACTTGAAAGGGAGTTGAAATGCATTTAAATTGCATGGCATATAAATAAAATTGGCAAAAGGTCCAAACCAAAAATAAAATAAGGTAAAATGTTGGACAGAAGAAGAGTAATATTTATCCTTGTGTAGCAGATCCAACTCTGTCCATAAGAGAGATTCCATTGAGGAAAACAGGTCCGGTTTAAACCACCTCCCATTTATTGGCTCTGGAAAAACATATGGGACACTTTAGAGGAATATTCGTTGCGCTAACCTCTTCCCACGTTATACACGATATTGACTGGGAAAAGTGAGAAGAAAACATGTGCGTCTTGCCTCACCAGAATCTATTTTCGCACGGTAACACTGTATGACCCATATAACTATTTATTACATAATGATGACCATCCATTTTTACTCTATGGAAAGATAATGTTTTGGGAAGTTCACCACAAAAAAAAAAAAAAAAGGTAAAATAATTATTTTTCTTTCTAAATGGTTACCCTCGTGCAGTACAAAACTCTCATGAGTTTCGCAACACAGCAGAAAATGTGATCGGGAAATGCCACAAGCCAAATTTAAACCCACATCACCTGCATAAGCACCTTGGCGCAACGTTCTGAAGCATGTGCACTAGTTGAGCTACAAGCCATTAGAATTGTGCAATTTTTTTCCCCCTGTTGAAGCATCTAGGGTTGTGCAAAATTCATGAGTGTGAATTTAAACTGGCCTGGAAATTGAATGAAATGGGATTTGAAAATGTGAAAAAAAATGGAATTTGAATGGACCCTTCGCAAAGACTCGCCCCCCTTAGTTACTGTTGCTACATCCTGTTTCAACCATCGAAAGACGTCAAATACACACCATTTTTCAAGTTCACGTCCACCAACGTTAATCTACTTCTTGTCTATTTTGTTTTTTTGTCGGACAAAATGGCAGATTCGGCGTTATGATTGGTCAGATCGCCTGTCAATCAAATTCCCGGTGAAGGGTCAATTAGAATGAGAAGAATTTAATGAACAGCAATTCTGATTATGCAAGGTAATATCTATGGCCTGTAAGCCTCCACATTTCAAGGCTTTTTAATCATTTTTAAAACTTTAAAACTTTCAAGTTTATCATGGTAAACTTTGCTGTTCTAGTTAAATATTGAAGTCATGTGAATTTCTCTGAACTTGATGTGAATTCTACTTACATTTAAACTCAAATCGCACTGTAAACAATTAATTGAATTATAAAAGGCATTCTCCATTCTCTACACTGTCACGCCAAAATGAAAGCATGCTGCGAACGCACAATGCCTCTTCGTACAGATATATGCATAGTTCAGCCTAACGTATTGAGACGTGTTAGTTCCAGGGTTATGGTCCGATTTTACACTCGTTCGCAGGTTCAGTTTATGACAGCTGTTGTATCTCAGACATAGCATCCACACATGGACTGGCTGACCTCTAAATACACAAACTAAATACTAAATGGTGTCTTTCACAGCTGTCGACTAACACTTCCAGTAAACATGCGATTTCTAAGAGCAGATGCTCAGAGCTTTTGTCAATGTTTATAGCACATTTTGAAAATGAGCCCGAATGTGACATCATGTTTAGTTTATATGCAACATTTAGGGTCAGCAGATGATAGGACGCATTGGCATAATAACTGATAACTTAGCATGCTAACGGCTCCTTTGTTTAAATACGGATTCAAAAATTAAATACACAGAGACTAGCAAGCAAACCGTTTCAACAATAGATGTTGAAATAGTTGATTATGCAGTCTAGTTATGTAACCACTGGCAGATTTATAAGTGACCCACTTCAACTGGTGCAAACATTTCATATACAGAACAGAAGCCCATATAAAGTATCTGGACACTTTTAGACTAATTAGTAATACTTAAAAATGTCTTAATGTCATTGCATTAAGTAACAACATTATCAAAGCAAGCGTTTCAAATGTGGCAGGATCTTTTCTTTTCACTTTCTTTTATTTTTGAAGGCTCATTGTGTTTGAATAAGCTGGTGTTTTGGTGATTTTAGGTGTAGAGGATCACATTAACTATCAACATCAAGTAACGTGTGATATGTTAGATTGAAGATTTTAGTAGATTGTAGTTCATTTACACTTTATTGAGATCTTTATATCTAAAATGGCCAAGAATGTGT